TTTAACCAGGTGGTGTTTGTTTTGAAACACCTACCTTTCTGGATGTTTAACCCAGTAGATGGCAGACATAGAATGCTTCCAACCACATGGAGGGGGTTTCTATAGGCCACTGCTCCTCATGCCTCTGAGGGAACTAGGTTCTGGCTCGTGGTCCCCGGTAGGCATTACAACTACAGTCGAAGGACTGTTGCCACGGTTTAATACATACATATCAGCCTGGTATAGCTCCGGGGAGCCGGAGGCGCTCTCCACAAAAATGGAGTAAGGAAGACTAATTATAGACCTGTATTGTTGACAAGCGTTGTAGTCAAAACATTAAATTAAATAATTAAATCCAAATGGGCAAAACACTTAGAAAGAAATTATATAATAACAGACAGTATGGTTTTAAAATAGGAAGATCCTGAATAAGAAATGATAGAGCCAGAGATTTTACAGGAAAGAGATGGTTGGGTTGACTGAAACTGAAACATACTGCAGGGGAGACTTGGCGATTTCTGACATAGATGAAAATTTTCTGTCAACAAAGTGACGATTGTAATTAAAGGCAAAGCATTTGATGCAGAAATGTTACTAATGGAGTATCACATGGTTTAGTTCTAGCACCAGTGATGTTCATTGTCTATATAAACAATCTACCAGAGGAATATAGAATTACAGTACATGAACATATTTACTGATAATGCTAAGCTACTTAGACAATTGTCATGCCCTTCAAGATGACCTGGACAAAATAAGTATATGGAGCAAACACTTGGCGAATGAAATGAAATTTGAATAAATGCCACATTATGGAATGTGGAATAGGATAAAAAAGGTCACACACAATCAACAAGTTATGTAAAAAGGCATTAAAGAACTCTGACAAAAAAAAATCAGATCCAGGGTAGATAGAAGGGTGGATAGCAAGTAGACTGTCACCAGAGGACTACATAAAGGATATTTCACAAGGAGCCTATTCTATGCTTTCCAACTTCAGAATCGTTTTGAAATACTGTACATGAATGGGGAAATATTAAAGAAAATGTTCATGACTTCTGTGAAACCAAAACTGGAATATGCAGCAGTTGTATGGTGCCCATATTTTAAGAGCCACATCAATAAACTGGAAAAGATGCAAAGACATGCAGCTAAATGACTTCTGGGACTGAAAAACAAGCTATGTAGAGAGCTTGAGGTGTTAAGTATGCCAAAGCTAGAAGATAGAAGAGGTGATATGATCACTGCATACATGACATCAACAGCAATCAACAAAATTGACAAAGAGGAATTATTGAAACCTGCAGCTTCAAGAACAAGAGGCCATAGATTCAGGCTAAGAAAACAAAGATACCAAAAATATACTCAAAATTTTTTATTTGCAAATAGAGTGGTAGACAGCTGGAACAAGATAACTGAAAAGGCAGTATATGCCAAAACTGTAAGTAGTTTCAAAGCATCATATGACAGAGTACTGGGAAGATGAGACACCACGAGCATAGCTCTCATCCTGTAACTACACTTGGGTAATTATACTTAGGTAATTACTTATCTAGCACAAGGGTTGTAGCTTTTACCTCTTTGCAACAAGTTGCTGCTGGTAGAGTTCATTGGGAGAGGGAGAGAGGGTAATAAACAGTAGCATACTGAAATACTGAAGGTAGGTGGTGTTGGGAGAACAATGAGAAACCATAAAGAAATTACCAAAATTCATTTAAGTCATGCTACATTAACAGAAGTGTCAGAACAAAGTGCACAAATTAAGAGCTATACTTTATACATCAATTAGATTGCATTGTTGCACTCACAAAAACATGTGTGACTGGAATCCAGGGAGCTATTAGCAGAGAACTATATTCAGAGATATAAATTGCTACACACAGATAGAACTATTAGGAGAGGATGTGAATAGAAGACTATGAGAGATAATATATAATGTGTAGTGTTAAACAGGAAATGAAACCACATTCACACACACACACAAACCATTTGAATTAAGATGAGACTTTGAGTACAGAGTGTCAATCTGTTCTAATTGCACATGATCCTAACCAGAGGTTGGTTAGGATCAAATTAGGATCATGATTTATAAATTTAAATCAAATTTATGAAAATTTTATGTTATAATTAATAATTAAATTTTAATTAGTTTCATAACATAATAATTAATAATAATCTTGCCATAAGCAGCAACTAAGTTGGATATAGCTCAAGAAAAGTTTGAATTCGGACAACACAAGAAATGTAGTTTGGTTTTTTGTTGTCTAAGACACGAAGTCTATTAGGCTTATCAAAGCCAACTGACTTTCTTCAGGATGAAACTCACAACAGTTACCAAAGTCCCATGTACAGTGGAACCTCGATTCAAACCTCGATACAGTGAATCTCCAGTTGCAATGCATATTTTACAAGCCAGATTTCCTCACCCAATTCAATTCGCATACTTGAACTAAAGTTCAGGGAAGCAGGGGATGTGGGCAATGAGCAGATTTGCTTAGGATGTTGGGCTAGAATTTATCAACTGATTGGAATGTTGCCCCCCTCATATGATAGGTTGAAATATGCCACTCAGAGAACCTAGCCCATAGAGCATGGGAAATATTAGGGCATGAATGGTAACTTCCATAACATGGCTTCAATCACATTTTAAATTACTTTCACAGATGGATGCAATATTAACACAAACAGTTGGAGTCTTGGTAAAGCTATTAAGGATATTTAAATTTGAATTATATGGTTCATTTTCATCTTGAATTGACAATGTTTTCTATCACTCCTCTCCGCTTGTTCCTTTGCAGACCGAGGCATGAGAAATAAGCCAAATGTGGTGAAGTTTCTTTACAGACTGGTTCACTTGGTAGTTGTCTATCACATAACAGGTTGAAATTAAAATGTCACTCAGTGAAATTAGCTCACAGGTCATGGGAAATATTAGGATATAAATGGTAACATTCTTAATATAACTCCAATCACATTTTTACTGATTTTCATAGATGGTTGCAATATTAGAAGGAGGAGTTAAGGCCTCGGGAAGGTCACTGAGCATATTTAATAATAAAATTCTATGGTTTATTTTTATTTTGAAACATGGGGTCCTTTTTTTCTTTGAAAATGAGGTTTTGAGGCTGGGACATGGGAAATACATTGGATGAGATGGAATCCTTTCACAGATTCTCCTGGTAGTTGTCCTTCATGTGATAGGTTGAATTATGAAATTAGTTGAGTGAAATTAGCCCACAGAGCATGGGACGTATCAGGGTATAGATGGCAACTCTTAATATGCCTCCAATTACATTTTTAATCATTTCTGTAGAGAGAGCAATATTAGAATAAACAAAGCAATAGTACTGTATGTTTCTTGTCTTAAAAAACAACAACTCACAAATGCCTCCAGAAGACACCTCTGGTTGCAACAAATCCCTCGCTCCAATGAATCGGGGTTGATCCCCCACGTAGTTTATCAAATCAAGGTTACACTGTACCTTATTAGAACTTGACTCTACTCAAGTGGATTTTTAGTATGAATCAATTTGCCAATAGCAGGAAGACTGAGATAGCTATGACAGTAAGAATGTAAATGGGATGCAGGCAGCTTGTGGTTTATGCAATAGTAAAAAAAAGCTTCTCAGAAATAACTGGCTATTAATTTTCTTTTCATTTCTAAAAGAGAATGTGTAGTATTTCACTTAACACAGGCTGAGTATGGATCATTGGATGCTTCCAAACATAATCCTATTTTCCTAATACAGTATGCCTTTTCAATTTGATTTCCATTGGTTAGGTTTTAGAAGGATATTCTAGGAATGCAATCCCCCCAAAAAATTTAAGTCACCTTTTTCTTCCATGCACTGAGAAAGCAAATACAATACCGGAACAACCGTGGACATCTTCAAGAGAAAACTAGATAGTTTTCTTCAAGAAGTGCCGGGCCAACCGGGCTGTTGTGGATGTGTACTGCAGGCTGCTCCAAGAAACAGCCTGTTGGACCAAGCTCTCACAAGTCAAGCCTGGCCTCAGGCTGGGCTTAGGGAGTAGAACTCCCAGCACCCCATCAAGCAGAAATCAAGCAAGCAGGTATCAAAGTTTATGTATTGTATAGAACCTTTACGTCAATGACTAAATGCCAGGTGTCTTTCAATACAGTACGCTAAATATTATAACCTTTGAAATTTAGCACTGCAGTACTATTAAGAAAAGTTTGTATACACATACATAGCCTTTGATGAAAGGTAGAATTCCATCCAGTAAGCAGAGAAACCATGGTGTAAAAATTGAAATATAAAGAAATGCAAGGCAGCAAAATTTGCAAAGAAAAAAAATCAGCTCATTTTTACTGCAGAATGCAAAACTGTACAAGCAAAGCTATAAAGACAGTATTGAAGAACTGATCTCAAGTTAGCATGTTGCAATAATATTCAAGAGAGATCATGTAAAGTTTACATGGAAAACATGTTCATATGCTCAGTTTCATTTCTAATTAACCTTTACCTTAACCTTAAGTTCATATAACTGATGAACTCCTTAACTCTCTAACAGTCATAGAAAACCATTATGTTTACAGCATAATAAACTACTCTATCCCTCAATGGTTGTATATCATGTATGAAATGAGGTCACAACTAGATAACTATGTCAGGAGATAATGCCCATTAAACATTAGTAAACAGCCTTAAGTGAGATAAATGTTTGCTTCTGCAGACAAAACAAACAGGTATTCTTTTATTAATATTATTTGAAAAAAAATAATATTATGACAACAACACTTTATTGCTCATTTAGGGAATTTTAAAGTAAGTTTTTTTTTAAATCACAAAGGATTATCACACAATATGAAGAACAAATCACATTCCAGATTAAATTCGGCAATCATATATCAAATACTGTACTGTATTTGTTTACAGTTTGAGCAGTCAGCGAGCACCTTTTTAAGAACAAAGGCTTAGGTGGAAGGCAAAAGAAAGAAGGCAAAGTGGAGAAATGCAAGTATCAAAGTTGCCTCTGGAACCAAACATTTCACTTACCAGAATCTGGAAGAAATCGTGGGTCAGAGCCTCTTGAACTGTGATGCGTTTTGCAGGATCCACAACAAGAAGCTTGGAGATGAGGTCTTTTGGAGTATCTGTGGTAATATGCATTAGATATATAAATGCTACCTGTATTTATGGACGACGTCCTAATATATAGATAATAAATAATAATATAATAAAAAAAAAACACTATCACATTTGTTTCGGAAAAAGACAAAACAATAGGGCCAATAAAGAACTGCTTGCAATAAGACAAAACAATAGGAACAAACCACTCAACATTCCCCTCAAGTGATCATTGCATTTGCCAGAACAGCCAATTACTGCTCAACTAGTGATTCATAAACTATTACTACCCGACAACCACCAGGTGGCAATGTTGTTTACCACAATAGAATTGGAGGGCCTGGAAGCCTCAATATTTGCCTGATCACCCATTTTACACCCAGTTTGGCAGAGGCCAATTCAGTTTAGCTGACTGGTTATTCCTTCAAACTGACTTTCTCTCTAGTTTTGCTTAACAGTATGGTAGCCAATAATTTGAATGTCTCAAATTATAGCTTTTTGCTTCAGCTTTGAAGGTTCTATTACCTGCTGCTGATTAACAAGAACCAATAGCTCTTGGAGTTAATTTCTCTGCAACACTTTGATGTACTCTTCAACATGACCCGAGTTCCCTAGTTTTTAGCCTCTGTCTGGCGATCTTGAGGTTATCTTGAGAAGATTTCGGGGCTTAGCGTCCCCGTGGCTTGGTCCTTGCCCAGGCCTCCTTTTTGTTACACACCCCCAGGAAGCAGCCCGTAGCAGCCATCTAACTCCGAGGTACCTATTTACTGCTAGATGAACAGGGGCAAGAGGGTGAAAACTCTGGCCATTTGTTTCCGCCTCCACTGGGGATCGAACCCGGAACCTCAGGACTACAAATCCCAAGCACTGTCCACTCAGCTGTCAGCCCTGGCAGTGCAAGTGTTGGCAAATAGTTAAAGGCTTGCTGGAACTTCTACAGTTATATTGCTGCAATGAAAACTGTTGCTGTTCTACTAATACAATTACAACATCATTAATGAAAAGCTTAAATTGTGAAAGTGAGGAATCAAAGGCTTTTACTTAGCATCTTTGAGTGCTGTCATGTCATATGCTTTACAATGCACATGGGACAACAGTCAGAATGTATTTAATTACTTTAGGTCGAGAGTTTATATGGTGCTGCCACCTGGTGGCAGTTGGCATGGATATCCAAGTAGGCAAACTGGTCATGTGCGACAGTGCTCTCTTGATGGTTACTTGTGATAATAAGAGGGCTTGAAAAGATTTTGAGTTCTCATGATTTGATCTTTTGTGGTCATTCAGGGCCATATTGAAAATTCTCAAATGAGGCCCCAGCACCTAAACGAACCTGCAGGGACTATGTGAAATTTTTCCCTGTGATTTAAGTTCCAATACAGTATCGGGGGCCTGTATGTTCGTCTTGCCCGACTGTATGTTACAGGACAGCAGAAATTTTCTTAATGAGCAACCAAATAAGATAAGCTCTAAAATACCTAATTAATACTAAAATAGCAAATCAGAATCTACATGTTTTGAGGTCAAACTTACAACTTGGCAAACTCTAAATAATCTATATAACAAGAATCAATCTGGGGTTATCCATGCAGAGACCACTCACAGTGTGGCTCGACATAAGCATGAATCCACATGTTTAGCCAGGCAAAATCCACATTATCTATATAAAATGTGCCTAGCATGGATATCCATGCACTCACAGCCTGCCTCTGGTATGAAAATCCAAAACTGTATACAGTATAGCACAGTCATTTAAAAACCACAATAGCCCTGTTCTCAATGTGGCTTTGGCAAATCTTATCGACATAGTACTAAAGTTTCAGCATCAGTTTGATACATGAACAAAACTAATATCACCGTGTGAGACTTTCCAAGTCTTCATGATATGGAATTAGTGTACTGTACTATGTTGATAGCTCTATAATTGTAAAACACCTACTACCATTAAACAATTATTATACAGACGTAAAACCTAAAGGAGCATTAACACTTTCATACCTGTTATATCCTCCCATTCTGGAGAGAGGAAAGAGTAATTGCCCTCCATAATATTACGAAGCATTACCATTTGCTTTCTATGCCAGAAAGGAGGGCAGCCAACCAAGCTGAAATAATATAAATCAGAAAATAATAATACATAAATAAATAAATTATATATATATAGTGAAAGATACATAGATAAGGTATAGTAGGTATATAAGGTAGATAAGGTTGCAGTTGTGCAACTGCCATAAAAAGGCAGTTGCACAACAAGCCAAATTTTCCTAAAATATTATATTTATATCAATTTTTATCTTGTGTACTGATAGACACTAACTTTATCACAAACTTTTAAAACTGAGTTGAAACTAAGTTAGCTACATGACACAACCTGATGAGAGAAAGACAGGCATACAGCACCAGGTAGACAAACCCAGACCAAGATGGACACAACTCCATGGACCACACCAACAACACAGTAAGAGGAGAAGCTGTAATACTGATCAATTTCAGAATTGCATTTAATTTTAAGAAATTTGAGTCTAAAACTGCTTGTTCTTGATGTAGCCTTTTTAAAAAAAAATTCCCTATCAATTTTATCTACAGTATTGCTTTACAGTTTTGTACATGATCATATCACCTCTTTCTTCTATTTGTCTTTTTGGCATTTAATGGCTTCCATCTCTCCATGCACTGTATATCTTTTTATTTAGGTTCAGGAGCCATTTAGATGCACGTCTTTACACCTTTCTATTTTGTGAATGTGCTTTTTTGAGATACGAACACTATACAACTGTGTCGGTTCTAACTCAAGTCTCTCAAATATAATTTGTTAAGCATTTCTCTATCCATATACACAGTACTGTATTTGAAAGGAACTTTGAAATTGATCGGAGCAGCAAAGGTCCCCTCTTACTATGTCCCTGGTGCAGCTGTCTGACAACACTTTGCTATCCACAACCACCTCTTTCTCTTTCACTGGCCAAGTACTTTAAGTCTTTTCACATAATTTGTAGGTTGAATGTGGCCTGGTTTCCCTTGTTTCACGCTCATTTTGTGTGTATAGGGTGACTTATATTTATTAACGGGGAGCAAGATCCAGCTCTCGAGTCCCAGCTCATGGTTACTGTTGTATCCAGTGCATTTATACCTCCCGACTTCTCAGTGTTGTATGATACTTGCTCTTAAAGCTGTGAATGGTGGTTGCTTCCACAACCTCTGGTTTAAGCTTATTCCACTTATTTACCACTCTCACTGCATTATAGTACAGTATTTCCTTACATCTCTATGGCATATCTGTTTCCGACTCCCAACTGTGCCCTTTCATTTTGTTGTTTCTAATGTGGAAAAAGACTCTCTATCCACTGTATTATTCTCAGCACCAGTACACTGTGATCATATCTCCTATTGTCTACCCTTCTAATGTCATTTAGTTTCAGTTTGCTTAGCTCTCCACGATTTTCCTCTTGTACATTACCAGTTAAAAAACTGAAAAGCTGTATGCTTGCAAAAGACTCCCCACCTCCTCACTATTTGTACATGTTGAAATTTCTTGATATTCTGACATAATTACTCATAATTACCACTGCACTGCCCACTTGACTAGCATGACAACCAGCCAATGTGCAAGTTTTAAATCTTGATACATCTCTGAATGTAATACATAGTTGAAGTTCTAATGGTAATAAGATCTGTGGAGGTGATGCACAGTTGAAGGGATTAAAACTGGAGATGGAAGTGGCTTTCATTGCCATTTTTTTCAGTGTACTCCACTTGTTGACGACCTTTTAATGCAGTGGTTTATTTCATTGGCTCACAACCATGGCTCTCAAGTTTGTCTCCTGGACAAATCAGAGATTTGGCAGAACAATGAAGAGTAAGGAAGCATGTTTCCTTACATCTGATGCCACTGTTCACCAAGTAGTAAGTAGGTACCAGGGAGTTGGACAATTGTTGTGGATTACATCCTGAGAAAGTTTGGTAGTTGGCCAAGAGACCTTGACAAGTGTAAATACAGGTTTCCTGTCCCTGACAACAAGGACACTAAGCATTTTCTTGCACCTCTTCAGTTTATTTGTATTTCCAACCTCCTAATACATTCTTGCTCCATACATGTACCTTTAAATTGAAAGACTATCCTTGTCCAAATTATCTCTTCTCAATATTTTGTATATGGCAATCATATCCTCTCTGTTCCTTCCCTTCTCAGGTGTTAATATATCAAGCTTCCTTAATTTGTCTTTGTATATTAGACCATATTTTTGGTAGTAGCTTTGTAGCAAACCTCTGGATATTACATAAACAATTTTTTTTTAAAGTTGGACTTTACCAGATATTAATTCCATCCTTGTGCTGCACTTTCTTGGATTGGTCTGATGTATGGCGAGTGACATACGTGTATTGAAAGACTCCTTGTTTATGTTTTTTAATGTTGTACCTATGTTTCAAGTTTCCCAATTGCTGAAGAAGTTATATTATTTACATGTGCTTCTGGAGTCAGTGCAGATATGTCTTGCTTCGATGATTCTCTCTTATTGTCATATCAGCAGTTGCCTACCTTTCATAGTGTAGCTTTCTTTTAGTTTCCCGTTACCTCTTATCATTATTACCTTACACTTCCTGGGGGGGTTGAAATTTAGCAGCCATTTATCTATCCACTACTGTGGTTTGTCAATGTCTTCCCAAATTTGGTAATTGTCCATCATTAACTATAATCATAAACTTGGGAAAGGAAGTGTGTAACAACTTACAGTGTGTACATAATAACACCGCATGCCCATCTGAAAAGGAGAGAAAAATATTAATAACAACACATGACAACTGACGCAAAACAACTTGATTAAGAGAAGTAATTTCATACAACAAAACTATGCATGCTACAAGCTCCTTCACAAGCAGACACATTAAGAAACATCAATACATTTCCCATGCTTTTATTTGTGAGTACTTTCACCTCAATGCAACCATCATGTAAAAAGTTAAGATAAAAGAAGCTTAAGCACTCTGTGTCAACATTCAACACAAAACAGAGCCCAAACTTATTGCTTCCCTATGTGCTGCTGCTTCCACCAAGCAGTGGATATATATACAAAAGAAAAAGGAAAAAATAGGATTAATCAGTAGTCCTTCCTACTTGGCTTCAGATCATTCTAATGGTTCATATCTTGAGTATATTAATATATACAATAACACTTTATTTACTTTATCACAAATTTTGATGCCTTGTTACCTCATTCCCTATCCCTGTGATGGGAGAGAGGGAAGAGGACAGATTTATCTAGAATCTTTTCAATACATTTTAAACACCTTCAAGGGTCAAAGGCATTTGAAGGAATACTGTACTAGCCTGAGTGTCTCCAAAGTGATCCACATGCCACTAAACAGGAGATATTGTGGTAAGAATAGGAACTGCCTCTGTAGGAATTCTTAACCCAAAGAGTAAAATATAGGAAAGGCAGACTGGAACAAGAGAATAGAATTAGGAAAATTAGAAAAGTCAAGTCATAGAATGTGCAATGCAGCAGTGATGAATATGCAGCAGATATTAAAGTATCACTGCAGTGAGAGTGCCAGAGAAATTAACCATTTATGGACAATGAGAATAATTTGAATTGCTATACAGAAAATAGAGTACTTGTATGTCCTTCACTCTACTTTTTTTTGGTGCAACTTTCTTCACAGAAATTTGAATCTACAGAGCCTCTACCATCTTTAAATCCAATTTTCTCACTTATCCTACCCTGTCAATCTTATCACCTAAGTTATAAGCATTACATATACAGTACATTATCTTTTATGTCAAGCAAGCAATACTCATGTTTATACAAGAGTGTTCTCTCCATACATTTTGTATTTCCAGTATTCAACACAGGAGCACGCACATTGTGGCTCCACTCTAAATCTGTGTCACTGTCATCTTCCATCCATTCCTCCAGCTCTCCCTCTTGACAAACTTACGTATGTAAGATTTTTAAGCCAAAAATGTATATTAATACTTCCGCATTCCGAGGAAAGGAGTGGCAATTCTCCTTTTTAGCCGATATACCAATTTTGGTTGCTTGTTCAGCAAGAAATACAGTAGTCTATATTAATTTTCTTTTAGAGAAGGGATTTATAGGTATTTATTTCAGAACATTTTGATATCAAAATGTTTTGAAATAAACGAGTTTCAAGAACAATACAGTAAACAGTAGTAAACAAGAATGAATATCAATGCCAGGTGTACGAGATGCTGCCTTGAAAATTCTTTATATATAAACATTTCTAAGTTATGCAGCTATTTATATATGAATACTTTTTTTTATATAAATATGCACAAATGATTGAACAGTATCACTGTTCCCGAGCCTATTGTGTGTATCTGTGGATGTTTCCACTACCAGTCATGGGATGTGTGTAGGGTCTTAGGAGTAGTCATGTTTGTTCTCGACTTGTAATAGAGAATCCCGGGTTCAAATCCCAGGCGGGACAGAAATAGTTGGATTCATTTCCAATCACCTAATGCCCCTGTTCACTAAGCAACAAACAAGTACTCAGGACTTAGTCAGCTTGTTGTGGGGATGCATCCCGGGAATGGTCAGTAATTCGATCCTGGGGAAGGACCTTGATATAAGCCTAACATGTACAGTATATATACACTGGTTGTCTGTCCCCCAACACAATGAATTATTATTTTGAATTATAATGAATTAAGGTTTTCAATGCAGAAAGGACAAAATTACTAGAATAATATTAACTACCAGCAAATAAATTTTGAAGTGAAGTACAATTTGCGTGAGAAGCCATCGACTGGTGATGCATAATGTAAAAATGTTTATACTAGTTTTCTCTTTGTGAAGCCATTTCCATGTTTATAACACTGATTTTGGTATAAAAAAATTTTTTTTTAGAAATGAATGGCTTCGAATATACTGTAATAAAAACAATGACTAACCAAGATGGGTGTGTGAATCACTCTGCCTCAATGACTCAGAAATAATGGCTGGACAAAACTTTGCTGAAAAGTCAGGATGGGACTATGCAGTACTGAGTCATCAGACTGGGAAGCTCAGAGTAGCAGATGAAGTAGTACAGTGTCATCGGAACACGAAAGTGTGAAGACATTTCTGAGAGGCCATTCAGAAAAGGATACTGTATAGATAAACACCTAAATAAACAAATAAATAAAAATCAAAGCAAACCCATTAAGTAAACCTTACAACCAGTACCCAATCACTGCTGGGTGAACAGAGATGTACAGTTAAGGATTGGCACCTAGTCAATCCTCCCCAGCCAGGATATGAACCTAGGCCAAATCGCTCGTGAAGTGTTGGGCGAGTGTTACCACTTCATCATGGAGACTGCTATATGGTTGAAATTATTTATCTTGTATGATATTGTTGGGCTCAACAGGAAATGATCTAAATGGTTACTATCCAATTAAATTCATAAAAACTTCTCCAATATTACCATGAAGACCACTTTTAGTAACTGTCTCAGACTCCAACTGCAATAAAACCATAATTACTAAGTGGGTTCAATGTTGAGTGAATACAATGTTCGTGGAAAAGTCTCCAATCTCTCTGGATAATTTAAGCCTTAATTAAATGAGGAATTTGATTACCAAGTTCTTGATGACAAAACCCAATCATAAGTATTACTGTATTCCATTTTAAAGGTATGTAGAGAATCTTCCCCAATCATATTTGTTACTCATCATTATGAAATGTAGAATTCAAAATTAACACTTGGACTGGAGTTATGTACAGTATATAGTTAGCAAGGTATTAATTTGTTCTTTTAAAAGTGATAGATTATTAAAAGATGGTCTGGCGAATTCAGTCATGCTAACCGATTTTGACACCACCGATAACATAGGGCAGACTGCATCAATGGATGGTATTACACTTAACATATTACCCATGAACTACAGCATATTGTATATATAATAATACAGGTTTACAGACTGACAAAATTTAATTTTTTTGGTTACACTTTTACAAGAAATCTATTAGCTTTATAGTTGTAATAAAGAGAATGGGATTCTTTTTAGCATCTCATTTGAGCTTGAGAGCCATCTACTAATGGTATTGATAACCACAGCCTAGGTGCTTTAAGCTGGCAGCCACATGCTAGCCACATAATATTACACATCCGCAGTCCAAGTATTAAATGTTGTGATTCACCAAAATGCAATTCTCATCTATTTTCAGGAATTCATTTTGCTAGAAGTTGACAAAATAAACAAAAGTTTGCATAAGAGAGACAAGTACTAGAAGACAAATATACTGTACAACAATACCTGAAGAGATGCATTGTAAAACAAAATAATTGAATACAGTGTATTGTGTACAAGGCAAAATAAATAATACTGATCTCCATTTACTTTAAATAAAATTAATAATATCAAATAGTCTCAATATTCAACTTATTCCAAATGTATTGATAAGCTAATTAAATTGAATTTCAAATGTAAATTAAATAAATATTGGCACTTGAGTAATGATCATTGCTGCAGTTTGTGGAGAATTAAAATAATTACCAAGAATAATAACGAAAAGAGGACTGCGAACAGCAAGTTTAGCCGAATATTTTTAATGAATGCAAATGCAAGAGAATCCTTTGAGCGTCCTGTGTATTAATCTATTAAATGTGACAAGAATTGAGTTTAGACTCACAAGTCAACAGCATGAGTATATCCTGGGGACCCTTCATACATGGCAAACTGCAGAACCTCTGGTGCTAGATATCCTGGTGTACCACAAACGTCTGCACCAACATAATAAAAAAATGAAATTTCAAAGAATGTGAAAACAAAAAAGGAAGACACTGAAAGTACAAGTTTTTAAACTTGGCAGCTTGCAAAGTGACTATATACATAAATAATGACAACTCAATACAGGTACAATACAAGTTTTCCATTAGCTTTGCACTAAATGCCAAAAATCAAGCACTGACTGTAATGAAATACTTTTTTCCTATTAGCCTTCAGTGGCTCCCCCAAGCATATCTCTGGTAGTACTCCAAAGCCTTAGACCCACACACCCATGAGATAACTGCATTGATAATCTGATAAGTCAAACCAGTATGCACTATTTTATACAAGATCTTGCAATAACTTTTGGGATTTGTGCTTTGGCCATTTTGTACCACCTCTCAACCTTCGGTCAGCTGGTGTTCACGTTCCAGAGCCTATTGGGTGGGTCCTATCATAGCTACCTTCACCACATCACTTTTAATGCATTCCATTTATTAATTACTCTGGCACTGGCAAAATTCTAATGTATTGTGGCATCTTTGGGTCTTTAATTTTCACCTGTGATCCTCTCTTGTCACCCATTCCAAGTAATCTGGCCATATCTGCCCTATCAATTTCCCTGGTTTAATTCCTTTGCAAGTTTGTGAAGGCCCATTAAGCACATGAGAGTGTGTGTAGGCAGGGCAGTTCAGGAATAGTGTTTAGTGTTGGGCTCTGATCCTGGTCCTCCTACATCTGTGTTGTAAGTTTCAAGGTCTTTGGGGTAACAGAGGACAGGCTTTGGTTGGTATTTAACATATCTTGTAGTAAAGTCCTCAGAGCAGAAGGCTTATATCTCCAAATAGGGTATATGCAGAATCTCCCCACCCATTCTAGGAAAGATTCCTCCTCTGTCCCCACTCAAGAGCATTTATATGTGCCTGTGTTTGATTTAGATTTGTCCTTTACACAGGTTTCTGCAACAACAATTAGCTTAGGCATAAGCTAGATGAGACTTGGCATTACTCCTGCAGCAAAGCAGGGACCATGAATTTGTAATGGATTTGGGTACTTTCAAATTTGAATCTTCAGCCGATTCCTGGTTATGGTATAGGGGTCAGGCAACCTTCTGGCCAGCATACAATTCCATATTTCTGCTGGGGAAATTAAATTTCTATTACTGCTCTCAGGTGTATAAGTAGGAAGGGTTTTTTTCCCAGTATTCAGCATATTCTTGTTGGGAACCTTTTTTTGATGCTGTTCTCTCCTGCCTTACCCCATGATGTTGGACCATGGCAGTTCCATGTCCAGACCTTGCCAGTTTCTACTGGCTTTGGCCTCGGTTGTTAATGAAGTTGAAGGAGATATTCTGTAACTTTTCTGCTCACAAGTTATTTACAGCACAGATGCAGTCTGCATGAAGTTCTTGGCTGTTAAGTCATCATCAGCCTTGGTGTCAACTTCTCCGGCTACTGAGGCTTTGCTCAAGTTGGTTGCATAGTTTGTGGGTTATAGTTTGACTTCATTGCCCATCATGCCTATAGGAAGACTGTGTTCAATCATTTCCCCACTTACACTTAATGGCACCACATTGCAATTATACATCACTTATTTCTTAAATAAATGTTTATGTAATTTTGTTGTTCTATCTGTAGTGAAATTTATAAATCATTTCAGCTCATTAAAAAACCAGCGTTGAATGTAATGAAACGCCATTTTCTGGGTGAGCCCCGGAAGTTCCCTGGAGCTATTGGGCAAATATGCGATACATTAGACCAGGGAATTAGTCAATGGCGTTTAGCCTACCGGGGACCATGAGCCAGAACCTGGCCCATTCAGAGAGACACAGGGAGCAATAGCCCCTGGAAAACCCCCACGGGTGGGGTTTTCCTTATCTGCCATCAACCGGGGTTAGGCACAAAGAAAGGTAGGCATAACAAAACAGACCCCACATGGTAAGAAAAGTACAACCAAAAACTGAACAGAGAAGCAGGGACCATGAAAGGAAACAAGCAAACGTCACACCTCGCCACCGTGCCGCTCGTCAGTGCAGCCCTCCCCTTTCCAGGAGAGGGAGGGGAGGGGGGCCTCAGATTCCCTGCACCGGCTACCCAGCAACTCCAGTTTGGAGGCTAAGCATCAAAACAATGCAAAAACCACTGACCAGAGGGAGAGAGGGAAGTAGGGAGGGAGGGAGGGTGCCAGGGAGCTGCTGGGGCTCACCCAGAAAAATGGCATTTCATTACATTCAATGCTCGTTTTCTGTGGGGGAACCCTTCCGGCTCCCTGCAGCTACATAACCAATAAATAAGGAAAAGAGGGACTCACCCGGGATGCAGCCGCCACACACTCCTCAACTCGAAGGCGAGACAGGAATGTTGAGCAAATAACGGGTGCCCAGGACCCTGTTCGACCTCCAAAAATCCCCACGCCCGAATATCAACCCAAGACATGTTGCCGAAGACTGCAGCCAAAGCAGCAAACTTCCAAACGCCATGGGCACAAGGACAGACTGCAGGCTAGGTAGACTTTATAACCCTGCGGACGACCTAGGAGATCCGAGCCCTGGAACAAGGAACGAGGGAAAACCGGATCAACCCAAAGCGCATTTCTGGCCACAAAAGCCGAGGTGCGCAAGTAACGGTGAAGAGCCGCAACCGGACAACATGTGATGCACCCCCAGCCTGACCAACCAAGCAACAATGACCCAAGGACCTCTCTGGAAAGCAGCCGTCTTGTCTTTCACAGAAAAGAAGGAGAAGGCTGCAACTGAATAAAGTGCCGTGCCGTGGAGAAGAGAGCCCCGATAGGGGCTCGGTGGACCGGGCCAGGGCCCATAGTTTGACTGTTACAGGAAGCCCGGGCAAGATGTTGCTAACCGGTTAGACCCAAAGCCAACAAGGGGGGATATCAAAACATTGAAACCCCCTGCGACGTGTACAATCACAGGGGGCCTAGCAGAGGGCCACCAAATTATTGTAAGTGGTCCTATAATCACACCAGGCAGACCCCCCCACCATGCAACCAAAACAAAACAGAAAGAAAAAGAAAAACCCTGCAAAAGTACAAAGTCTTCAGAGGAAACAGGAAATGACCTCTGCATAGGTAAGCTGGCTGCGCAACACCCTGACGCTCCAACCAGCAATAATACCACTCCCCTAACCAAGGCCAAACAAGAGCCACGAAACCCCAGCTGGCCCCAAGGGCGCGGTAAATGCCGAGAAGCAAAAACCCCTACGGAAATGCCGTCCCAAAAGCACCAGGGAAGAGAACCCTGACACCAAAGGGTGGTACTCACAGGGCACTTATTAAAGGCTGCTGTAAGTGCATGCAGCCCTGGTACACTTAAGAGCACCTGGCCACCACACCACGAACAGCAGAGGACACCTCTAAAGCAAAACACTGCCAGGAAACCGAGGCCAGAGTTGACAACTGGCCTGGATAGCATTAGCCAATGAACGTGAGTTGCTGGGTAGCCAACACAGGGGGTCCGGGCCTCCCCCCCCCCCTGCCCTTCCTAGGGAGGAAAGGGCTACGCAGACGAGCGGCGCGGCTACAAGGAGTGACATTTGATTGTGTGCTTGTTTCCTTGGGATTTGAGGGAGTTCTGCCACTCTGTTCGGTTTTTGGTTGCAATTTTCTTACCAAGTAGGGTCTGCTTTGTTATGCATACCTTTCTTCATGCCTATCTTCTTGAGGTTACCTTGAGATGATTTCAGGGCTTAAATGTCCCTGCGGCCCTGTCCTCAATCAGGCCTTCTTTTTGTTACACACCCCCAGTAAGCAGCCCGTAACATCTGTCTAACTTCCAGGTACCTATTTACTGCTAAGCAACAGGAGCATCAGGGTGAAAGAAACTCTGCCCATTTGTTTCCCGCCTCCAACAGGGATCGAACCCGGAACCTCAGGATTACGAATCCGAAGCGCTGTTCACTCAGTTGTCAGGCCCCAGGCCCAGGTCAGGCCTATCCCTGGTGGATGGCAGATTAAGAAAAACCCCAACCACAGGGGGGCTTTTCAAGGGGTCATTGCTCCCTGCACCTCTCTTGAGAGGCCCAGATTCTGGCTCGTGGTCCCTAGTAGACTGAACTCCATCGACTAATGCCCTGGTCTAATGTATCGCATATTAGCACGATAGATCCAAGGAGCCGGAGGGGCTCCGCACAGAAAAATATATTTTTATGACCATAAGCAAGTGTAATGTAGAAATATTAATAAGCTTTTGTAAACAAGGGGTACTTTGCACACTCAACATTGTTTCTTTGATTTGTTTTGTGCCTATACTAGAAAATATTAACTTATGTGTATTTACATACTAAAAGTAGTGTTCTAATTCTATAAATAGGCTCACAAACAGCAATTATAATTTTTTTTACATATAGCTGTGCAAGGAGACAAATGGGCAGTTCATTTCATATAAGAAAGTTACATAATCTTCCTGGCTTGGTGCCTTCTTTTGATAATTACTTGCTTCTAACAAGAAAATGGCCACCCTCTCCAGAATGTGAAAATGTTAAGAGAATATTCTCTAAGTTTACAGAGTAACTTAGCAAAGGTTTTGGAAAACTTCCTGAGACAGAACATCTCAAGTAAAGAGTTGTAAATATGTAAATGCACAGCACAGATCTAATATGAAGAGAATCCCACAGGGTAATGTACCAAACAAAACTTGCTTCCTTTCAGAGATAAATGACACTACTACTATCACATTTCCAAGAAGTGTGCATAATAGGCTGTAAATAGAGTTTTTGGTAAGAGTCATTAAGGAAAGAATGGTAATACAGTAAACAATACAGGAGGGTACAAGTAATGATGCTCAATGACTGGAGGATCATGGCTTCAAGTTTTATATAAGCAAATCATGTACCAATATCATTCATGTACCGTTACCATGTACCATTCAGCAAAAACCATAAAATAGAGGATACAACACAAAAAGACAAAATTTCGGGGTTTCTTTTTAACACAATGACTTGGAAAGATACTATAGCCAATATCTGATATTAACCATTATAATTATAAAAGCTCTTAA